CACATCACATAGAGGAGGGAAATCTCAGGATGGAAAGGGGTAGGGTGTCACAGAGGTGGCAGTGAGTGCTCTGGACTGTGTTTTATTGGGTCTTAAGCTCTTTAGCCAAAAAGAAATTAAAACTAGAACCAATACTTCATCTGCCAAAAGGCCATATATTATTGACCTCACCTAGCCTGGGGCAGCCTTGACCTCATGCCTCTGGCATTTGTACACTTAGTGCAGACTTTTAAGTCTGTCTGTATTTTCTTTGTAGTGCGGGAATTGAACTCACAGCATTCTGTGTCTTTTTGAAAAGCCCTTTATATCATTATTACACATACATGCTTTCTCTTCAACTAGATTTTAAACTGGTAGGACCTAGAGGCAGGGTCTTCCTTTTCTTGAGCCCATGTAAATTGTACAATAAAAATTAACTACTGTGTCCAGGCGTGGTGGTACACACCATTAATCCCAGCCCTTGGGAGGCAGAGGCAAGTGGATCTCTGTGAGTTCAAGGCCAGCCTGGTCTACGTAGTGAGTTCCAGGCCAGCAGGGGCTACAGGGAAACCCTGTCTCAAAAAGACCAAAAATTAATTAATTAATTAATTAATTAACTACTGTGTCTGCGGAGGTAGCTCCCAGAGCTGAGGAGGTGAATATAGGCAGATCCTTGGTGCCTGCTGGCCAGCCAGCCTAGTCATATTGGCAGGCCCAGGTCCCAGGGAGAAACCGTGTTTTAGAAAACAAGGTAGACAGCTAGCTCCTGAGGAATGACACCAAGGGTGACTTCTGACCTCCACCTGTGCACGCACACCTGTACCTGCACACACTTGTGCTCACACGTGTGCATACACGTGTTTACATACCTGCACACACAGAAAAGGTAACTGTTAACTCACAATAAAGTTATAGGATCAACCTAAGTGTCTGTATACACGATTAGGCTTTAGTCTGCTGCAAAGAAGAGAGAAATGATGTCATTTGCCGAAAATGAATAGAGCGAGCAATCACCAAGATAGGCTAAATGAGCCAGACTTAGATAAATATCACCTGTTTTCTCTCAGATGCAGAATCTACATTTTTAACAAGAGGAGAGGACTAACAGGATGGCAGGTAGATAAGAATGCTTGCTGTGGGAACCTGAGGACCTGAGTTCAGATCCTCAGCACCCACATGACAGAGCCAGGCATGGCTACACGTGCCGGTGACTTGATTGCTGATGAGCCTGCAGACAAGAAGATCATTGGCGTTTGCTGGCTGCCACTATCTCCAAAAACTGTTGAGGTTCAGTGAGACCCTGTCTTGAGGGAGTAAGATCGAAAGCAGTAGAACATGAGGCTCAGCGTCCCTCTGGCCCCACACGGGTGTATGGACCTTCACACCCATGCATACACACTCACGGACAGACAACATAAAAGTTATGTACTTGGGAAGAGAAAGGGACCAGTGGAAGGGAGGAAGAGGGAGCAGAGGGTAGTGGAGAGGTGAATATGGTCAGGGTGCATTGTATACAGCTATGAAGATGTCATGCTAGAACCTGTTGTTTTACAAGTGAATATATGCTAATGAAACATAAGATAAAATTAACCACTAGAGGGGCTGGAGAGATGGCTCAGTGGTTAAGAACACTGGTTGTTCTTGCAGAAGACCCGGGTTCAAATCCCAGCACCACATGGCAGCTAACAAATGTCTGTAACTCCAGTCCCAGGGGATCCGACAGCCTCTTCTGTCCTCCGTGGGTATTGCACAACACGGGTGCACTTACCTACACACAGGCAATACATGCATACATATAAAATAAAAATAATAAATTTTAAAAATATATTAAAAAAAACATTTAACTGCTAGAGACCAGCACAGTGACCACAGCATTCCTATAAGCTTGGCAGTTTTGACCATCTTACCTGCAAACCTGCTTGTAACTCAACTTTGTAAGGCGTTTTTGATTCCTGAATAAGATAGATTTTTCGTTTCATGTGCTTAAACAAAATGATCCCTTTTAAGCACTCATTCAGTGGTTGTTGACATCAGTAATATGTGTATTTGCCCTTTGGTGAGCAAGGACATCTGAAGTGTCACTAAAAGCCTTTTAAGCCTACTATTGTCCCAGACCCTGGGAATCAGGGAGACCCTGTCCTGTGGGGCTCAAATACCAAGTACACCTGACCGTGAGGCACCTACATGCTTCCAGCTTGGTGGACGCTCACAGTGCAGCACAGCCCATCTTCCTTTGTGAGTGATTGATTTTCAAAAGATGTAGATGGTGGAGGCTCAGAGATCATGTTTTCAGCCGTAGTTTGCCCCCCCCCCCCCGCTTATATTCACTTCTGGATCTGTCTATTTATTTTTAAATATATTATTTTTATTTTATGTGTATGAGTGTGTTGCCTGCATGTATGTGAGTGCACTCATGTCGTGCAATTCCGTGGAGGTCAGAGGAGGGCTTCGGATTCCCCTGGAACTGGAGTTAAGGACAGTTTATAGCTGCCATGTGGGTGCTGGAAATCGGACCTGGGTCCTCTGCAAGAGCAGTCAGTGCTCTTAACTGCTGAGCCATCGCTCCAGTGTCATTTTTAAATTTTTTTTAAAGACTATGTGTATGAGTGTTTGCCTGCATGTATCTAAGCATACCGTGTGTATGCAATGTCCACAGAGGCCAGAAGAGGGTGTTGGATATAAATGGTTGTTAGCCCTGTGGGAGCTGGGAACCAAACCCAGGTCCTCAGCAAGAAGAGCCAGTGCTCTTAATTGCTGAGCATCTCTCCAGCCCACTGGGTCTGTCATTCTTACAGTTTCAGGTCACAGTGCTTTCTCCCAACTCAATCAGATCTCTGGAAATGTGCACAGAAGCACACAGAAACACACACACACCATTTCAGAGGGTCTTTGGACCCTTGGAGGTCCACCTCCATCACAGTCACCTTTGGGAATGTTATCAGTTTAGTCTAACTTATATATGAAATTGTTGCCATTTTAAGCTAAACACCCACCCACCATGCTGCCTGGTCCCTTTGTCACTCATCCAGTTTCCTTCTGGTATACACAGGAAGCAATTCAAGGCTCCTTACATATCTGCTGCTCAAAACCATTGTGCTTTACCCCTCACACACTTCCTCCTTTCTGTGGAAACATTGCCACACCCGAGAGGGTCGGAAGTATAAACTTGAGTTCTGCCCAAGAAGTCAAAAGGCTGTTAGATGCATTAGTTTATCTGTGCAAAGAGGAAACAGGAGCTAATCACACACTGTCATCTTCCACACTGGACTCTGGCCCACATTAAAAAGCTTTTTCTCAGATTATAAAGCAGTTTATAACATAGACCCATGCTCATGTTATTTAAAAATTAATGAAGTTGCCGGGGTGATGGTGCATGCCTTTAATCTCAGCACTCAGGATGCCAAGGTAGGCGGATCCTGTGAGATTGAGGCCAGCTGGGGCTACAGGGAGACCCTGTCTCAAAAAGAAATGATGATGATGGTGATGATGATGCCGATGAGGATGCCGATGATGCCACCGCCCATGAATCCATACCTCAGTGTTCAATATTAAAGGGAAATTGCTCAAGCAGTGACAGTCTGGGTGTGGGGCCTTGCTAGGCTGCTTTTGGAATGTTCTTTCTTAGGAAACGCTCTGGTGGCACAGAGAAAGGGTACGACTTCCAGGAGACTGTGCGGCAGGGTGTTTTTCTTCTAATACTCCACTAAGGACTTTCAGTGGGAGAGACGAACAGATCTGTCACAAGATGAAAGCATTTGTGAACTCTCCAGCCTCCGTCCACGCACCTTTCCTTTATTTCCAATTAGAGTCCTGATTTATTTAGAATAGTATTTTTAATGATTGACAATAATCGCAATAGAAATAATCGCAGTAGCCGGGTGTGGTGGCGAACACCTTTAATCCCAGCACTGGGGAGGCAGAGGCAGGCGGATCTCTTGTGAGTTCAAGGCCAGCCTGGTCTACATAGTGAGTTCCAGGACAGCTGGGACTACAGGGAGACCCTGTCTCAAAAAAAACAAGAAAAAAAAAATCGCAGTAAGTTTAAATTGTGCTTGGTAAAAATAAAACCCAGCATTACACAGAACTCACTGTCGTGTGCCAGTGGGGTTCATGTTCACAAAAGACAGCGTGTTAGCACGAGACTCACAGAAGTCATGTAAAGGAGGTGGGTCATCCCACCCCATCGTGTAGGAAACCTGACCCAGAGCTCGGTTACGGGGCTAGTCATGGAATTGGAAATAGGCACAAGTTTGTAATTGAGTGTTCTTTCTGACTTCTTCATCCCAAGACTTAGGGTAAATCAGTCCTCCCGCAGGACTTGGGATGAATCGGTGCTCCTCCCCGAAGACTTGGGGTGAATCGGTGCTCCTCAGTATTCCCGTAGCATATGCTTGTTTCCTGCACTTCAGAGTTGTTCTGAGATTCCGATTATTTGCTTCAAAACATGGTTCCCAGGCAAGCAGCAGGAACATTTCCTTGGAGCTTGCTAGAAATGCAGGTTCTTAGGCCCTGCCTCAAAATGAATCCGAAACTGTAGGTAAACTCAGCAGCTGGTGGTGTTTATTTAGCATGCCCTCCAGGTGAGGTGATACATGCTGAAGTTTAGAAACACTGAGAATCTAATTCTGTGACTTCCGATGTGATATGAGCACCACCCTAATCACAGCAGAAGTGTTCCTCACTCCATAGAGTTCCTAAGCCACCACTGTGGGGCACAGGGAGCAGCACTTGCTCTTGATCCCACAGTACTTGCAGATGACATCTTTTTTTTTAATTTTATGTGTATGAGTGTATTGCCTGCATGTATGTAAGTGCACCCATGTCCTGCAATGTGTTCTGTCAGAAGAGGGCATCGGATACCCTAGAACTGGAGTTACAGATGGTTGTTAACCGCCATGTGGGTACTGGGATTTGAACCCAAGTCTTCTGCAAGAACAGCCAGTGCTCTTAACTAATGAACCTTCTCTCCAGCCCCAGTAACACCTTTTAAGTTGTTAATTACAGTCTCTCTTGTTTTTCAGCCCATGGACCAGGCTTCTCTCAAAAACAGTGATGTTCTCCTTCTGACAGGCCTCACCCAGATCCCCACTGCCAACCCTGATGGCATGGTGGGAGAGTTCTGCAGCAACCTCGGTAAGGAACCTGCTGGCCACCACCTGTCACCTTGGCCGGGCAGGGAGCACAAAACATTAAAGTCTGTGACAGCTACTGAAGAGACAGCTCCCGGCCCCTCCACCTGCCAGCAGAGGTGCTATGGCTCCAGGAAAAAGTGCTCATCCTCTGAGGCCGGGTCCTGGGTCTTTGGTTTATTCTTTGTCCTTCCTGTCACCCATACCCTGGGTGTCTCTTAAGGCCTCCTTGATCTCGTCTGCTTTTGCCCCTTATTCCATCTTCCAGCATGTGCTACTGTTGACGGGAGCGATTCCAAAGTAGCTTAAATCTGAAGATGTGCAACCATGAGCTAGGATTACTGGCATCTTAGAACAGGCACTCCATGTTCTTGTGTTAATCCCTTGCTTTTGATGGATTTTGCATGCGAAGCGTACGTGTTTACGGGGTGGCAGTTATCACAGAAGGGAACAGTCGTAGCTTTGTTTTGCAAATAGTAACAGAAAAAACACTTGAAATTCATGGTAGTGAGCAACAAATAGAATTTTCTCACTAATATTTGGTTGCTTTTATTTTTTCTTCTTTTGAGAGAAGATTAAATTGAGAGGCCTATGGGATGTTTTCTACCTGGAAGAAGTTTATTTTTCCTTTAGGTAAAATTGTAAGTGTAGACAGCTATAAAAAATGTCACAGTCCAGGTAGCTTAGGCAGTGACAGCTATTTCTTACAGTTCTGGAGCCTGGGGACTAAGACCCAGGAGCTGAAGAAGGCCTTTGTCTCCTGTCAGTGGTCACTCATTCTTCTGTGTCCTCACACAGAGCACAAGAAGTCTGGTTTCCATTCTTACAGAGTGCTCTCTTCCTGGGGTCTCCACTCCATGACCTCATCTAAATTTCATCACCTCCTCCCAAAGCCCCAACTTCTGAATACCATTCATTGCATTGGTGGTCTGGGCCACCACATGTAAACATTAATCTGCAATAGCTACCAGAGGAGTAGAAAAGCCTAGACCCTCCACCTGCCCACAACTTTTAAGTGATATTGCCTCTGGCTCCAGGAAGATGTACTCATCTTCTGTGTACATGGAAGGCACTATCCTTTGAAATTTCACTTAACCTCACTACTAGTCATATTTTGGTTTTATTCTTTACTGGTAAAAAATCAAAAGTAATTTATTTCTACTGTGGGAAAGTACTTAGACTGGGCTCAAATAGTATCTGAACTTTGTATTTGCTTATAGTCTAGAATCATACACTCAAGGAACTTTAGATTTGTAAACAAAACTTGCCTCTAATGTACCCTAACCACCATCCTCCAGGTCAGCAAGTTCACTTAATAAGAATGCAGACTTGGGGCCCTACCACAGATCATGTCAGACTCTGGGGGAAGAGGACCCAGAAGAAAAGCTGCATGCTCAGCACGTTCCCTTGGTAGTTTTTACGCAACTAAAGCTTGGAAAGCACTGGTCTCATTCATTCCTCTCTGTCGGGAGCCGCTAATCATTCAGCTGTGTCAGGCTTGTTTACTGAGTGTGTTGTGCACACCAGTATCTAATTTGCCTTATCAGGAGGAATATGTTTATATGGAGAGCCTCACAACACCTAACCTTGAGGCAATAGTGGAAGCCTTTGATCTGACCGCTCCTTGACCCTCAGATACAGGTGGGGAAAAACAGCAGTTGTAACTAATGGAGTTCTTCTGTATAAAAAGGCAGAACTGAAATAAATCGGAGCTGCAGTATTGACTGTGAGCCCTCCCAAGCATCTTTTCTGTCTCCCTTCCTTTCTTTCAATCCTCACTCCCCCTTTCAGGTACTGTCCGTTTTGGCCGGCTGGCACCGGCACCTCTCAAATATAACTGGCAAGGAAACTGAGGCCCAGCCAGGTTGTAGTGGTCTACTTGTGGTCCTTGTGTCTTGGAAGCAGGACTAGCTCCAAGCCTGTACTCTAATAGTAGTAGCAAGTCACAACCCTCAAAGCACAGCCTCCAGGAGACCTGTGCATCCGAGTGGGCGTCGGGAGGATGTAAGGCCTAAAAGATCCAACTCCTCCTCCCAAAAGCCACTCATTTCAGCATTTCACAGACTATGCAACAGCAGTCTGTTTCAGCCAGTCATACTTTTAATATAATTACAACCCATAAGTTGCAATTCCTTGTAACAACTGATTTTAAGTATTTAAAATAAGATTTCTTTACAGATAGATATTAATGAAAAATTGCAGCTAAAAGGACTCAAGTAGACAAACAGCCTCTTTCCTTTGGGTCAGAGACTGAGCAGGGATAAGTTCCATACATTTTTAAGCAGGATTTAAAGAGGAGCTGGAAGGGCCTGAAGCTCGGGTTCATTGGAGTCACTAAAACCAACACTGTGCTCCCAGAGGCTGAAACAGTGATGGGAACATCCTTCAGCCTCTAAATGTTACTTTTCTAGGCTCTTCAAAAGAGGCAGCTTACTGTAAGTGAGTGAATCCAGGAACAGGAGCTTGGGAAGCTGAGACAGGAATAAAGAGTTCAGAGCCATGTAGCAAGACCCTGTCGCAAATAAACAAAATCAGACATAAGAAAATGAAAGAAATGTAATTGTTACTTTAAAAGATGCACTCGACCTTGTAACCCTGTCTTTTTGTCTTTTTGCTTCTGTTTTCTCTCATCCCTCAACTCTTCAGCTCTTACTGTTCGGAATGGAGGGAACGTGTTGGTCCCGTGCTACCCTTCTGGAGTGATCTATGACCTCCTGGAGTGCCTGTATCAGTACATTGACTCCGCCGGCCTCTCCAGCATCCCCTTCTACTTCATCTCCCCGGTAGCTAACAGCTCGCTGGAGTTCTCCCAGATTTTTGCTGAGTGGTATGTCGGTGTTCTCTCTCTGAGTTCTGTTTGATTCAGCACATTTAGTAAGAGTGAAAAGAATTCTGATTAGTTACACTCACAAGCTTTCATTTTGTTGTGTTGTATTATTTCTGTCTGTGATCAGAGAATCGTATTACTGAAAGTCAAATCTGACACAGTGCTGGAGTTTCGAAGCCTGCAGAGGAGGGAGGGGTGAGAGACTTCACTTAGCGTATACTCACCTTCTCCTGTGCCACTGTCTGCCTACTGCAGAGTAAAGTTTCATTCTAAAAAGTCTTTCAAGCCCAAGTTCATGTTGTCTGTAATAAACCACATCTGGTGAGAAAAGGCAGATTCTTATTTCCATAGTTAATTTATCAAAATCATGTTTTATTGCACCAGGAAACTGATCAAATCTAAGCCAGGCCCATGATTGGACAACAAGAAATTACTGAGCCCTTGTAAGATTATTTAGGTGCAGGTTTGAGTCTTAACTCCCCTAGCCAGAAAGAGGGAGATGGAGATAGCTTAGCTTTTACAGCACAGCTGTTCCAGAAGTGCAGGAGCCGTGAGACACACAAGCCAAATGGACGAGCTTCTAAAAAGTTCCTCATTGGAAGAGAACTTTTACATTCCTCTGCCATGACACACCTGAACATTATGCTCTTCACCCCACCTCTGCTTTAAGCACACACTTCTTCCTCTGCAGTTAATTCCAGTCTTCGTTTCTGTGTTTAGACTGAGATGGGCTTCTTCACCCCATATACCTCCTGTTCATCTGTTGGTAGAACTGGTCCTTTTTGTTGGGTACTTGATAATTTTTATCCTTTTTCTCATTGTACATCCTCTCCCCAAGGAGGACGGTAATCCTGGGTAGTTAGTAGTCTACACTAAGTATACCTTGCAGATTTTGTCAGCATGTTAGGAATGTGTTTTCATCCCAATCTTCAGTAAAAATACTGTGAGACACACCCCTGTGTCCAGCTGTGTTGGCCTGTGGACAGTGCACTTGCCAGGACTGTGGCTACGAGTGTGATCTTCACCCAGCCTGGACCAGATGTACTGTAGGATCTTGCTGCATTTTGCTTCAGAGGTATTTGTTAGTTCATAATAGGAATTCATGTTTACACGAAATAAAAATAAAGGTTACAGAAAACTAAAAACCCCGAACCCATAGTATTAGTCTAAGAGCCAGCATCACTGCTCTCACTCTGATGGACTTCATCCTTCCACAGAGAAATCATGGGAATACTTAATTTTCTTTCTTTTTTCATTTTTTGAGACAGGGTCTCGCTATGTCTGAATATTTCATTTCAAATCCTGTTTTGTAAAGAAATGAAGTAGAAGGTTTGGGGTTACAGCTCAGTAGTACAGTACTTGCCTAGCATGGGCAAGGTCTGAGTTCCAGTCTGCCCCCCCCCCCCATACACAAGGACTAGAGTAAACCATAAAATTTTGGGAAAGGCCAGCATACACTTTATAATCCCAGCACTCGGGAGGCTGAAGCAAGAGGATGATGGGATCAAGGCCAGACTGCTGTACAGGCAGACCTTGTCTTACAAACCAAAGAGAAGAAACTTTGAGAGTATAAGACTGCAGTATTAGCTCATTTTTACAGTACTTATATATGTATAATTTCATTTATTATTTTGTTATTGACTGAAAGGATTTCTTTTTCTTTTAGTAATAAATCTTAAGTTAGTGTCATTTACATATATATGACCACATCTTTCTGCCATAGATAAATTACTAAAAGTGGAATTACTGGAACAAAGGGTATAAATATTTCTTAATGTTCATTATTTGAATCTAAATTGCTTTCCAGAAAGATTTTAATGTAAATTATTCCTTCTTTGCCCATTTATGTTTTAAAGGCTTTGTATTTCTCTAATGTATTTGAACCCTGTGTATATATCAAAGATAGTAACTTTTTGTTAACATTCTGTGCTATTTTTCCTATTATGACACTTTTTGAATTTTGTCTTGGAGTTTTTTTTTCTGTTTAAGTAATAATGTACTTTAGAATGATTTTAGGTCTTCAGAAAAGTATGATTATGGTAGAGTTCCTTTACATCTTCCACTTCATTTCCCTGTGTTAACCTCTCTCATGGCCAAAACATTTGTCAAAACTAAAAAGTAACTATTAGAGCTGGGCACAGTGGCCTATGCCTGTGATGTCAGCACTTAGAAGGAGGGTCTAGAGTTCAGGGTTAGCCTCAGCTACATAGTGAGTTTGAGGCAGCCTTAGCTACATGAGGGGTGAATCTGGGAGGAGCTGGGTGAAAGACGGTGAGTACGACCAATGCACTGCGTACAATTCTCAGAGGTCAGTAAAAGTGGTTTTTGGTTTTGTTGGGTTTTCTTTTTTCTTGGTCTTTTTGAGACAGGGTCTCCCTGTGGCCCCAGCTGTCCTGGAACTCACTGTGTAGACCAGGCTGGCCTTGAACTCACAGAGATCCGCCAGCCTCTGCCTCCTGAGTGCTGGGACTAAAGGCGTGCGCCACCACGCCCAGCAATAAAAATGGTTTTTAAAGTAAATATTAACATCATCATCCAAGCTCTGATCTTTATTCTAATTGCAACAGTTTTTCAACTAATAAACTTTTTACACTTTGGGGTCCAATCTAGGTACAGCTAAGCCTTCACTTTTGGGGGGTGGGGGTTGTTTGTTTGGTTTTGCTTTGCTCTTTATTGTTTTGAAACTTTTCCCTATTGATGTGATGTTTCTGGATGTATTTTATGATCTAGCTCTTTCTATCTATCTCTTTCTGAGACAGGGTCTCACTCTAGCCCAGGCTCTTCCTAGCTCAGCTTCCCAATCTAGAATTTCAGGCATGTGACAGCATGCCTGGCTGATTTCTTCTTTGCCCCCACCCTGAACTATTTTATGTAGAATTTTTTTAGCGTAAAAGAATTTTATTTTTTTTCCCTAAATAGTCAAATCTTTGTGTTTGCTAGGTTTTGTTTTCCTTTGTTCATCTATCCATTCTTTGGCCAGTATAGTGCTAATATATTTCAGTAACTGTTTCATAAATTTGAATCATACTGCATGCAAACATACATTTCTTCATTTTCCATGTCAGAAATCCCTGAGGTCTTGTTTATTCTTGCATGGGAACCATAGAATCACTTTATCAGTTTCCAGAATTCCCTTCTGAATGCACACAGCCTACAGACTACAAATTGACATCTTTGTAGTAGTTTTCCGAGGCTCAGACACAAGATGTCTCACTGTCTTCTGAGTTTTTTAATGTCTCTCCTGAACCTCGTTGGTCATATACTTTTCCTGTTCCTGTTTCCATGCATGCTTTTCTTTAGTTCAGCCAGTAAGTATTTGGTAAGTGTCACTGTGTGTAGAGAACTGGAGATCTTGAAGGGTCTCTGACCTTGAGGAATCTGTACCATGAAAAAAAGAGGCATGTATGTAAACTAGCACTGTGAAATCATCCAGGGTGTGTGAGTGCATGCAAGAGGGGTGTGGGGGCGAGTGCATTATTCAAAGAAGGCAACTCCTCACATCTTCTGATTTTAAAAGGCTTCCTAAAGAAGATGCTCCTGGGGAATCAGTGTGGGGATGGGTTGGGTGGGCCGCTGTGGGGTGGAGAGAGTGGGCTTGCAGTTGGCTTGACCTGAATGCATGTGGAGGTTTGAAAGGTTTGGTTTCTTCAGAGTGTAATCTGTAGTTCTTTGCTGTGGAAGTATAACACTCACAGTGTGCCGGTGCCAGCCGGCCAAGACGGACAGTACCTGAAAGGGGGAGTGAGGATTGAAAAAAAAAAAAACAAGAGACAGAGAAAAGGTACTTGCAAGGACTGTCAGTAGAGACTGCGGCTCCGGTTTATTTTAGCTCCGCCTTTTCATACAGAAGATCAGAGACAGCCACTGTTTGCTTAACTCAATTAGTTTCAACAGCTGTTTTTCCCACCTGTATCTGAGGGCCAAGGAGCGGTCACATACTTGTTGTGAGCTCCACCATATAAACACATTCCTCCTGACTTGGCAGATTAGGTACTGGTGTGCAAGACACAAACTCTAAACAAGCAAGCCTGCCACAGCTCAATGTACATAATGGTATAATAGCTCCCAACAACAGTGGGAGTGGCAAAGTATAAGGCTAGAGGGTTCTTCTTGGTATGGGGATTGCTTGGTTATGTTTGCATTTCACATAGATCCTCCTACAGTTAAGTTGGGGGTTTTCAGAAGGAGGTAGGCCTGAAGTATAAGGAAAGTTTGCCAAGACCAAGAGAAAGCTAAGACTCCATTATGCAGAAACTGTAGGGGAGGCCTCAATTCAAGAGGTGATCAGGAAGTAAAACTGGCTGCTGGATCCAAAAGAAGTAGCGGCCAGGACTGACATTTTAGTTTGGGGTATGGCACATCAAGGTAACCCCAAGTGAAATAGGCCATACAAGAAAGAAGAGCAGGTTCCTGCGGCAAAGCTGGTTAGTTTGGCTTTGCCCTTGAGGCACTTGTGCCTGGGGAGTGAAACCCTGTGGTCAGAGGTCTGGAAGCCAGGAATGGCCTTTCAGGCTGGGACAGCAACTTGGGCAGTTGAAGCCACAGAATGAGTGTGGTGGCCTAGGAAGAAGAGTAGTTCAGAGAGTAGTTGTGTGAAGGCTGGAACTCTTAAGTAGTTCCTTGAGAGGTGGGGAGGGGAACATTTAGAAAAAGAGAGTGAAGGAACAACCATATAATGGGAAACAGAAAATTGGGACCTACAGTCTTCCCTCAGTGTGATTTAAACAAGCACAGTTTGCTAAGAAGAAAAACTTGAACCAAATCTGTTCCTTGTGTGTCTAGGCCCTAGCAGGGCTAAACTATCCTGGCTTAGTACTAAAGCCTGCTCCCTCTCCCCAAGAACTGCCACTCTCAGCCACGGGAGTCCTCTGGGCAACTGTCATCCCTCTGAGGGCAGCAGGGTACTGAGATTCTAAGAGGCTCAGGGAGGCCATTCTAATATGGACTGGAGCCTGAGACTGGCCGCTCTAGGGCACTTTCCCATTGGAGACCAGAGTTCCTCCTAGCTTCATGCTGTCTCTGTTGCATTGACACTTTTGTACAGTCTTGCTGCAAAGCTCTTTCCCCAGATAAGGAGTCACTACTTATATGGAGGGATGCTACCTCTAGATTTGATTAACTTAGCAAGTTAGGCCAGGCCACCCTAGGCCAGGACCATCACCCACTTGGGTTTGCTTCCTCCCTTCAGTCTCGCTTGCTTGTGGTCAGCCTCAGGCCCAGCCACTCTGGTGCTGATCTGGGCTTCGGCTCTGGCCTCCATTTGGCTTCGACTTCTGTGCCTGCAAAGCCCAGCTCCTTGCTATTCTGGTGTCAGCCCCAACTCCAGACCAAGGGTATTCATTCGCTTGTTTTGTTGTTTGGGTTTGTTTTCTTTTCAGAGGAGGGTGAGACAGAGGAATGACTTCCTCTCTTACTGAGCCAGCAGTGCCCTAAAAAGAGTATAGGACCTGAGCTCTGGCTTCAGGAAGCAGGAGGGCATCGAAGGCTCAAGAAGCAATTCTGAAAGAACTTTTAATGTCTTTACTGATAACACAATAAACACACATTGCTTTTTGAACTCCCAACAGCTACAGCCCCCAGAAGCAAACTCTGAGGGCTCCCCAAGCCTCTCTCAGCCATGTAGAAGTCCCTGTCTTCTGTGCCTGCGTGAGCTGACAGGAGGCCATCTGTGAGCACAACTGGCCACAGGTGCTTTCCTGCATGCAGCCCAGTCCCTAAACAGGTTGTGACCTCTTCTGCATCCCTGATTGCACCCTCTAATGCATAGGACACAGTACCCCGGGCAACAGTCCTGGTAACTTCCCAGCTAAGCTCTGATTTCCCTCTTCTGAATCTGAAGTCAAGATAGAACTAGTGTTAAACTTGAATGTTATAAGGAGATCCTCTGCAAGTATTGTGCTTCCATATTTTTGTCTTCTTCCAAACAAGGATATTAAATGATGTTTCTGAGATCAAGGGTAAAGAAAACTACGGTCAGGGAAAGTTAAATACACCGTAGGAGCTTAGTACAAAATCCTACCTTTGAACCCCTTGTTCAAACACTACTTTAACAGAGGAGGAGAGGAAATGTGCATGTGCTCTTCACTCTTTTTAATGTGACCAGAGGCTGGAGAGATGGTCAGAAGCTAAAAGTGCATACTGCTTTTGCCGAAGACCCAAATTTGGTTCCCAGCACCCACATAAGGCAGCTCACAATGGCCTCCTCAGGCACCTGCGTGCACATACACACACACACATAATGAAGAATAAATCTTTAAAACATATTTTAAAAGTGACCAGTTTCTTGTTTTGCAATAATCTTAGATTTAGAGAAAAAAAAGAAAGTTGAAGAGTAGCATTCTCATGCCCACTTGCAGCAGACTGAGAAATAAATGGCAGCCTGCTCTATCTACCATGTTTCTATGTACTGGCTACCTACAACCAACTGACTGACCTGCCCAAGTCAAATCTCACTGTGTGTCCCAGGGCGGCCTGAAGTGCTGCGATTCCAGGTGAGGACCAGCCTGGTCAGGGGATGTGTCGGTTGCTCGGTTCTTAAGTTTTTTTGTCACATTCCAGTTTTCCACCTCTGAACCCCCTTTTTTTGGTTGGGGAGATAAAGTCTCAGCATGTAAACAAGTCTGGGCTTAAACTCATGATCCTTCTGCCTCAGTTTCTCTCCAGCTGGGGTTAGTAAGTGCTACTTTTGCTGGAATAGGGCATGTTCAGCAACAGGCCATGTCTAGAAAAGGCAGGTATCTTTCCCCCTCAAAACTGATGACCGCTAAATGTAACAGGGTGTCTCAATTTGGATCCTGGAACAGAGAAAGGATGTGAGTGGAAAAACTGGTGACATCCATATCAGCCCTGGAGTCCTATTCATTGTCAGGCTGGGGAATATCACAGCGTCCTTGCCCAGTGTGCCTAAGGCACAAGTAAAAAAATAAGAGCTATTCAAAGCGTGAGTGCCGGATGTGCTTACCATGCATGGTGGTGCACACCTGTAATTGCAGCACTCCAGGCCACCATGGGACACAGAGTGAGATTTGAATTGGGTAGGTCAGTCAGTCGGCTGGCCATAGGTAGCTACTACATAGAAACATGGTAGATACAGTGGGCTGCCATTTATTTCTCAGTGTACTGCAAGATGTTAACACTGGGGCATGAGAATACTACTCTTCAACTTTGTTTATGAATCCAGGGTTATTTCAAAACAAGAAGTTTATGTTTTAAAGGAAAAAGAAATGTTTGCTCACAAGACACATAGTATTCTGAGTGCTCTGTAAGTGCTGGCTTTTACTCCCTTGATTTATTGCCAGGAAGATTTTAGAAGAGCTGTGCATGGTAGTGAACACCCTTAATCCCAGCATTCAGGAGGCAGAGGCAGAGGCAGGCAGATCTCTGTGAGATCAAGGCCAGCCTGGTCTGTCTAGCAAGTTCCAGGCCAGCTGGGGCTACAGGGAAACCCTGTCTCAACAAAACAAAACAAATAATGAAAGAACTTGTGGCTGTGGTGTTTCTTCTGCTGCCACTAGGAGGAAGCAAATGCCCAGTGCACATTTCTAATGCCCTGCTGTGTTTTCTTTCCTCTTTTAAAGGCTCTGTCACAACAAACAGAGTAAGGTGTATCTCCCAGAACCACCTTTCCCTCATGCAGAGGTAAGAAAATGGAATTCTTGGGTCAGGGCATGAAGGAAACATAAAAGATGATATGACCTTATGTTTAAAATACCCCTGTGTGGAGCCAGGCAATGACACACACATGTAATCCCAGTACTCTAGTAACTGAGACAGAAAGATTGTGAGTTCCAGGACCCTATCTTTAAAAAAAAAAAAAAAAAAAATCACATCTCTCTTCCCCACCTCAGAAAAGGTGACAGAAAAGACCTCCAGCTCACAGTCCATCTGTTTCTTCTTGTTAGCATGTTGCAGTGCCACATGTACATACAGTTCACAGCCTGCCTCTGTTGTTCACTGTGCAGGTTTTATTCTGGTATCTTCTGCCACCTTTTTAGGTAATAGGTTTATTATCAAAATGTTCTTTCTAGTCATGTCAATCACATATGCAAACTCTAAAAATATTTGTATGTATATATTCTTGTGTGTACCAGAGATTAAAGTCATGTCTTGACTTCAGGCACTTTCCACCTCATTTTTTGAGAAAGGCTGTTTCACTGAACCTGGAACTTAGTAATTTAGCCAGGCTAGCCATCCAGCCCCCGGGATCCTCCCATCTCCACTTTCCCAGACTCGGATTACAGGCACACACTGGAGCACCCAGCTTTTCACATGGGTGGTGAGAATCCAAACTCAGGTCCTTATGTTTGCACAGCAAGCACTTTACCAACTAGTCATCTTCCTAGACCCCACATAAGTAAATTGTTTTTGAGACAAGATCTCCCTGTAGCCCCAGTTGGCCTAGAACTCACTATGTAGACCAGGCTGGCCTTGATCTCACAGAGATCCGCCTGCCTCTGCCTCCCGAGTGCCGGGACTAAAGGTGTGCACCACCACACCTAGCATTAAGTAAAATTTAAGGATGAAAATAACACTCCATTTTAAAAGATGGAGAAGTCCCTCTATCACAGACCTGATACGTGTTCTTATTGTCGCTGTTTTCTTTCTGTTGTTTGTTCACCAAATGGTTATATCTTGGACATTTTTCTGTGTGCCCCATAGTATTATTACTATACTATTGCTGCCTGACCACTGATACTGTATCGCTAATACACTATAATGAATTCACAGTTGTCATATTATTGGACAACACAGCTATGTTTTACTTTCTGTTAAATTTTTATTAAGAATGCTTAATTGGTATCAGCACTCCAGAGATGGCATAGCACTGTCTGCCTGGCCGTTCAGTACTCTCTATGTGCCTGTTCTTGTGTACCAAAATACATGGGTGTATTACCAGAAACACCACACATCACCGCTTCCAATGCCATCAAAAGCAGATCGGCTCTGTGTGCATTTGCTGTCTGCACAGCTCGGTCCTTTCCAGAGTGCCACACAGGTCAAGTGACAGTGCACAGCCTTCTCTTTGCTTCGTAATTGGCTCATCCATGTCTTCTAGAGGGTTTTTCAGCACTGTCTTGATGTGCTAGTTTATCCAGTTACCAACTTGGGGACATTTTGGTTTCCATGTTTTGACAATTATGAGTAAAACTCTCAATGTCCATGGGCAGGGTTTTGTGGACATCAGCTTTTCAGCTCTTTTGTTAAATATCATGAAGCCTGATTGCTGTATCCTCTGTCAAGTATATATTTACTTTCGTGGGGTTTTTAATATATTAAAAAAAAGGCTTACAAAGTGGCTGTGCCATTTTTCTCTCCACTAGCAAGGAATGGGAATCCCTGTGCCTCCCCTTCTTGTCAGCATTTGAGGTCAGTGCTCTAGATCACCTAGTCCCTGCACTACGAAGCAGTGGCCTCCGGCACTTTAATTTGCACTTTCCTGATGGCATGTGGTGTGGAGCTCATTTGCCATCTGTATATCCTCTCTGGTGAGCTGTCTCCTCAGAGCTTCTGCCCATTTTTCTAGCCATGTGGTTCATTCTCAAATCAGTCCTCTAGCATGTGTCTTTGGCATGTTTTCTCCTAGTCTGTAGCTTGTCTTCTTCATCTGACAGCTCTTGGTGTGACTTTCTAGCTCATTCAGACCAATAAGCTGAAGCACTACCCCAGCATTCACGGAGACTTCAGCAATGACTTCAGACAGCCCTGTGTGGTGTTCACTGGACACCCTTCCCTCCGGTGTGGGGATGTCGTCCACTTCATGGAGCTCTGGGGAAAATCAAGTCTCAACACTGTCATATTTACAGGTACATTTCTTTTAAAGATTTATTTATTTTTATTTTGTGTGTATGGGTGCTTACCCTCAGGTATATATGTGGATCATGGTTGTGCCTGGTGCACAGTGGCCAGAAGAGGGCATTGGGTTCCCTGAACTAGAGTTGTTAGCCACCATGTGGGTGCTGGGAACCAAACCCAGGTCCTTTGCAAGAGTAGCCAGTGCTCTTAACCACTGAGCCATTCTCCAGCCCCCCAGGGAAGTTTTAAGAGTAAGCAAAATCCTGCCCTTTCCATTGGGCTCTCAGTACGCTCATCTACAAGGTAGAGATGCACAGGGAAAGATCTGCCAGGAAAGCATAGATATGAACATTTTTTCTGTTGTACGTACCAGAGAAGTTTAAAAAGTCTGTCAGCAGTGCATTCCTATAATGTCAGCCCTGGGCAGGCCGGGGCAAGAAGATTGAATTCTAGGGCATTCTGGGCTATGTGGCAAGACCCTGACTATAAAAGAAAGAAGAATAAAACAGATGGAGGAACAAGAGGGAAGCACAGGGACTGCTGGGTGCGTCAGACACAGCTGATTTCTGCTCTTTCAGATGCTCTTTTCCCAGCACTGAAATCTACTGCGCTGCTTTTCGATAGGGTTTTATGAGAACAGTGATGGTTCTGGTAGCCATTCTCATCTTGCCATTCGGGAACTACATACTTAGCTGAGTCTTTGGCCTTTGCTCTGATTTATGGTTGTTCGGGAAAGAGCAAAGTCTTTATCGAGGTGAGGTCAAGCAGAGGAATCTGCCATATTCTATCAGTGTCAGGCCTTCAAAGCTGCCTTGGAGTTTGGAGGTCTTATAGGCTATGAAGTAAGAATCTTTGATCTGAAATCTGGCCATTGCTGTACCCTCAGCCACGCCCACCCTCTTTCCTCACTGTAAATAGGACTGCTGCCAACTTCAGCTTGGGCTGCTCTGGGCAGGACCGAAGCCTGTTAGCACTCTCAGGATAGCATCTGGCATATACAGTGGCCGCAGGAAGTATCCTTCCCTTTTAACACTTGGGTTTGGGGGCCTGCAAGATAGCTTAGCAGGTAAGCAGAGCCTGACAACCTGAGTGCAGTCCCCACGACCCACAGAGTGAAAGGAAAGAACCAACTCCCACAAGGTAGCCTACAATTTCCATATATGTGCCAAAAAAGTAAAAATAAATCATTTTAAAAGTTAAAAAAAAGACTCAGGTATGGGAGTAGAGAAGACAGTTTTACCAGAAGTATCTGGGTGCCGGACACCAGCCCTGCACGCAGCCTGTTTGTGAGGACTGTCTGACCCTAGACAAGGACCACCAGGAACTTGACAGACTTGGGTTTCTTACAGTCATTGCAGGGCAGGAGCACACGCTGGGGTATGAGCATGGGAAAGAGCTTCTTGTGGGGTCTGGGCTGGGGCCCGGTGACCTGGATTGATACACAGAACCCTACAATTAGGCATCTTACTGTCGTATCCAGAAGGCAGGAATAGTGCCAGGACAGGGTGATGACTGCTTGTGTGGGGTCTGGGTTTTGTGTTGAGAGGGGCCTGTTTTCCATGGATTCTTTGTGGTCACTCAGTAGCCTTGTCTGATGTTGGTGCTCTGTGACGTGTGTATCCAACAAAGACACAGTGACCCTGCTGTACCAGGCCAGCTCCTACTAACCCCGCAACTGAGCAGACGGTGCCAGGAGAGCTCCTGGCCCTCAGGGACTGCTTTTCTGTTCCTCATACCACCTCTAGGATGAAGGTAGAGGCTGTCGGGTCACAGTGCCTAGAACTTGGCCAGCACCAGGATCTTCTGGTGAGATTGTCAAGAGAACACTGGAAGGGACTGCACCTGGCCACTCTGGCCCCTTCTGATGAGCTGTGACTGATGTGACAATGGTTGCAGGGTTCCCACAGCACAGAGAGAAATGCTGGCTCCAGTATAAATGTTCCTCTGGCCAGCTAAGAAGAAAAACAGCTGTGAGACCACGCTGTAACTCGCGTGTCTGCTGGCTTGTTGGTTTCTGGAGCAGGTATGTCTGCTCTCATACTCTCTCTTGTGAAGGGACTTTGGCCTCCTTTTCTCCTTGTGTCATGGCTACCATACAGTATTCCCTCTGGGGGTGGCCTTGTGACCAGAGGTTCCAGGGTGGCAGCCTGGGCTCTGACACCCCAACAAGTCTGCCAATTAAAGAGATAAATAGTGAAAAGCAAAGAAAGATTTAGTCACTGTGGCCATATTGGGTATAAGAAGGGGTCCAGTAACTACCTCTCCCCAGAGCCATCTTTGGTACTGATAGAAGGAAGTATAAATAGAGATCTAGAGGTATGCATAATTAAGCAGTCCTAGTCAGGATGTGGTCCTGCCCATCACCGACCCATCATTGCCTGGGCTCCCGTCTGTCCTACGGTGTGGTGCTATACATTGTCAGCTATGTGACATCTCTTCCTGGGAGGTGAGTTCCTCCTCCAACTGGCACCAGGGCTTCAGGCTTTCCCTTCTCCAGCATAGAATTCCTGGAGAAGTTTTCATTTGTCGAGGTCAGTCTCTCTACAGCCTCATAAACAAGGGCTCTAGTGTCTTTATAGTCACCTCTCCTGCCTGGGCCATGACAGCAAGTAGTTACCTCATTGGGGTCCTAGGCGTTCTTGGTGAAACATCATCTACTCATCTACTGGAGGTGGCCATTTAAATATCTAATTTTGTCCATTGTCCTGAAGAAACTGGAGGAGTTTGTTTGCTAGGTGAGCTGGTGCCCGGGGTCCATACTGGGGATCAGAGTACCCTGTATCACATCAGGAATGAGCCAGTTCTCTTGGGTCTAGGGGTCAACTCTGGTGTGAACAATCCCTGCCCACAGCCCTTGAAAGAAAAACTGGTCAATGTAACAAAGATTGCTTCCAGTCGTGAGGCCAGGGCTTCCTGGTAGGAGCGACAGTCTCGGCAGAAGCATTTGTGACATGGGCATTTGTACCATTGTCTTGCTGTATAGACCAGGGTGGCCTTGAACTCATCAGAGAGCTCCGCCTGCCTCTGCCTTGCGAATGCTATTATTAAAGACATGCAGCACCATGCCTGGGATTCTTCCTCAGCTTACCTGAGGACTTTAGCATTGATTAATGATTCTAGTCTGCATCAGTTATTACTATGATGCTGCCAAATGGCAATTTTTTTTCTGTTTTTTTGGTCTTTTTGAGACAGGATCTCCCTGTAGCCCAAAGCTGGTCTGGATTTGCTATGGAGACCAGGCTGGCCTCAAACTCAGAGATCCACCTGCCTCTGCCTGCCTCTGCTGAGATTAAAGGCATGCACCACCACACCCGGCTCTAAATGGCAAATTTTTTACAGTCATTTGTTTGTTTTTCTTTTTGAGACACGGCCTCAATATGTAGCCCAGGCTGGCCTTACCAGTACCTTCCTGCCTCCACCTGCAGTGTTAGAACTACAGGCATGCACACCACACCTGGCTCGTGTCCCCATACATGTCATCGCTCCTCTTTACTCAGCTCTCCTTCTTACCCATGCTGCACTTCCATCTCACAGGCCTGCCCGCCCCTCCCTCCTCGGACTCCTCTTCCTCCCATTGCCCCCTGCTCGCCTCACTCGCTCCCTCTTCCTCCCACACCACCTGCTTGACCCTGACTCCTCTGTTGCCTGCGTGTTGAATTCCCCATTTTTACTTTCCTAGAACCAGACTTTTCCTACCTGGAAGCACTGGCGCCCTACCAGCCACTGGCCATGAAGTGCGTCTACTGCCCCATTGACACAAGGCTGAATTTCATCCAGGTGTCAAAGCTGCTTAAAGAAGTGCAGGTAACAAAGACCTGTGGGCCGGTGTCCGCACACGGCTGTTTCCTCTGCGGGTCAGTGTCCACACATGGCTGTCACCTCTGTCTTCATTTGCTCAGCTGTGGTATGAAGGGTATGAAGGATGCCTATCTTCATGGGAGCCTGCCCTAGTTCCATTGTCGTACTACTGACGGTAACCCTTCAGACTTGTTAGAAAAACAATCTTTCTGCCCTAAAAAAGTTCCCCCTAAAGAATCATAACTAAGAGAAAGAAGGCATAAGCAGTTAACTTTTGAGGACCACTGCGTCCACTGATGAGCGGATGGTTGCCCCCTCCAAGTCAATCTAGAAACATTCAGTGAGCTAAAAGATCCTTTGACTGAAACTTGTATTGAGCCAGAGTTACACTGTGGGCCAGCACCGTGCTGATCTGCTAGGTGTGGTGGTTACCATCGCATTTTCTGCTCTAGAGAAGCAAAGATAGTTCCGGTAAAATAGGAAAGTGGGACCGTCTACAAAGACGAGCACAGGGTGCTGCGGAGAGACAGGTCACTGCACTGGGTTAGCTAATAAGTTTTTGACGAGTTGGGAGCCAGTTAGAATTGGCAAGCTTAGACCCTGTGAGAGGAAGAGTTCTGACCCCTTCACCAGGACCGTGGAGCTTGAGTAGTGAGTGCTGAGGTGCTCAGGCATTCCCTTAGGCTTCTTCTTCGGGTCATTTAGCGAGGTGTGGTTCCTCCCTTCATCTCCTGGCTTAGCGCTTTCTTACAGACTGTTTACCACCAGGATGAGAGGCCCATACACAAAAGGAGAGGTAGCAAAGGGACCTCAGGGAGTATCGATTTTGGTGACCACACTAGCTTGTCTTAGAGGAAGGGGTGCCTAAGAGACAGCCAGCTCTGGGTCAACAGGGAGCATCTGCTGGGTCACTACGTGCTCATCAACATGCGCGCAGGAAATGGCTAAGGGCAAGTCCCAGCCCCTAAGCCAGCTGTGTGCTCTTCACACTCCTGTCACACACTTACATAGAAACCAGAGGCCAGCTGCTCTCCACTTCAGAGGAACACTGGGAGAAGACTTCAGGCTGAGGCAGAGGTGTTAGATGCTAGCCAGGTCAGGAAGAACAAAAAGCCATTGGAAGGAGGATAGCTCAAAAGAACAAGTATACCCAACCCATCCAGTTCTCGCCATTAGAAACCCCTTATTCAGAGGAGCTGTAACTCTCAAGTGACGGCAGTGAGCCCGAGGGCTGCCAGCCTCAGCTTTCAGTGGGTGAAGTTTATCCAGAGTTTCGTCTCTAATTCACGGTCATGCACAGTTGTGCCCGTGGCCTGCAAATGCCCACTGACCAGGACCCGCTGGCCTGCCTCAGGTAGCCTACGAAGCACCAAAGCCAGAACACTGAGCTAGCACAAAGCTACAGTTTTTGCTGGTCGGCCAAGGACTTGGAATAGCTGACGGGGGAAGTGTGACAGACTGTCCTCAAGGAGCTCAGCAATCATTTAAGTATAGACACAATGGATGTCACCATCAAAGTTACTTAAATGAAAAAAGAACCCAGTGCTGCACTCCTTCCTCCAACCCCCCACAGGTCAGCCGGGTTTGAGAGGATGAGCTCCAGTGGCCTCAGAGTGGTGGGCTTGAGCATCTGGTTAGAACTAGGGTCAGGAAGAGGCCTGGGGGACTGCTCTGCACATGGCCCTGACTCCCCATTCCCACTGTTCCTCAGCCTCTGCACGTGGTCTGTCCAGAGCAGTACACCCAGCCACCCCCAGCCCAGTCCCACAGGATGGACCTCATGATCGACTGCCAGCCGCCTGCCATGTCCTATCGGCGGGCGGAGGTCCTCGCCCTGCCCTTCAAACGGCGCTACGAGAAAATAGAAATCATGCCAGAGGTGAGCTGCTCTTTGTTCATGCTTAAACTTGGGTTTCCAGTGGAGCCAGTTTAGGAGGGTAGTGCTTGGAGTTTGAGTCAGAGGTAAGTGAGGGGAAGAACAAAGACCCTCAAGCAAGTAACTGGGAAAAGCAGCCTTTTCGGTGCTGCTCGACGAGAGCGCTCAGCAGTGCAACCCCAACAGCCAAGTCCTGGGTCTCTCAGCCTTGGAGAAAGTGCTGAGGGTCTCTCCAGATTCCTGGACCTACCTCACCTGTGAGTGACCAGAAAGAAAATACATATCCACATGAGCATCGCTGAAACGGTTTAGTCTGTGAAAGTTGGGTGTTTGCACAGTGCTAGCTTCTGCTTTAACAAGAACAGTACCTGGGGAGCATCCAAGCTGTGTTATGCTAAGTGACTCATCCAGGGAAGAGTGCAGAAAGGCCCCTCCTGAGGTGACTGTGGGTCACTAGGAGGGCTGCTGCCCAAAGGCCTCCAACACTTGAGTTCTGATAGATAAAAAAGTAGCCGAAGCACCAGGACACAGATAAAACTCATCAAAGTAGGGTTTATTAGCAAAGGAACACATGGGACAGATTCCCTTCCGGGCAGGGAAATTATCTGCCCAGGTCTTGAGCTGGGGTCTTTTAAAAGGGAGGCTTCTGCCTCCTGCAGAAGGCTGGAAGATGTATTTTTTTTTAAGTTGGGTGGTGGGGGGTAGTGGGAAAGCGGGACTGTTAAAACCTGTCCTCTTTAGAGATCAAAAGGGAAGCCTGCTGTGTTGGCCAAACAGTGGAGAAAAGTCTGCTTCTCTTGACTTCAAAGACCAGGGTGCTTATCAGCTAGGTTCCCTTTTCTCAGGAGCTTGAGAAGTCCTTGGGATCCTGTTGGTGAGGGGGCAGGGCGATCTGAACCTTAACACATAGGAGCCATGTCCTACTCTTGGGAGAGGTCAGATTCCTAAGAATTAGGAGAGACCCACTCAATCCACTTCCACCATCTCTATCCTTCCTGTGTGACACTAAGCTGGAAAGGGCTTGGAGAGAGTCTAAGACAGAGTGAAGGGAAACTGTGCACATGCTATGTTTTGCCCAATAGGTTGTGAGAGGCACTGAAAGAGCTTTAGAATTGCCTGGAGCCACTTCAGTAATAGCCATGCGGTGGAAGCCTTGGGTGTTTTGGGCGGTATGCACCTAGCAGGTGTTCCCATTTCCTTAGTTGTGGGGCCCAGCACAGTGACACATGCTGCCCTGATGGTCCCTCCTGAGCAGAACCATACGAAGCCCCTTGAAAATGCCACGGTACTCGGTCACTTCTGTCACCCTCTTTCAGCTGTGTCTGCTACTCCAGTCCTTTTTCCTGTTCCTTCCTTGGGGAGAGGTTTATATGCTTAGATGCCTGATCAATGCATTAAGTTATTTGGTCATTTTAGACCAAACTGATCTAAATAAAAATCTAAATAAAGTCATAGTGATGGTCCTTGGAGGCTTACCTCCTGATAAATGAGGCCTTCCAGGACAACAAGGTGCTAAGAGCCTGATGCTGTGGTGCACTGAGCCCCAGGTTACCATCCACCACATCAAAGGGAGCCTGCCTGAAACTGCATTTGCTTTCAGCTTGCAGACTCCCTGGTGCCCATGGAGATCAAGCCTGGCATCTCCTTGGCCACCGTCTCAGCAGTGCTGCACACTAAGGATAACAAGCACATACTTCAGGTACCAAGGGCAGGCGGGAAGTTGGGTGGGGAATCAGGAGAGACCCTCCCCTCAGGAAGGCCCTGGATGCCCAGTCAGCTCCTGGCTTCTGCTGCTCCAAGCAACAGAAATTTGAAATCAGGCTTAGTAAGATTTAGTGAGTATCTGGAACAAAGAAGGTGCTTCATGTAAATTATTCACTTCTCTGGCCACATGCCTCAGAGATGAAAGGGAAGAGATCACACAAGTCCTAAGTGGTCCCTTCCATTGCTCTGGTGTGCAGCGTCACTCCAAGCTTCCACAGCATTTGTCGAGCCCCACAGAGCACTACAGGGCAAGGTGGGTGCTGGATACCTGAGAAGTTGCAGACACAGTCCCTTATGCTGTCTGGAAATACAAGCACAGCACAGAGCCAGGGAGGTCTGCAGCCTGGCACACAGGTGGGCAGCACTGGCCCCTAAAGAATCCCTACCTTTACACCCTAGATGGCTACAAATTAAAATGCCAAACCCTGCTGGGTCACTAACATGAACTCTCCTCACTGGTCCTCATAGAACCTTTAGCTCCTCCTCGCACAGGCTGTTTCTCTAACCTTCAGTTTCCTAATGGTTTCCAAGGCTGGTAGAGGCACAGCCAGAATTCACCTGCCAGACTCTCCAGTCTGGGTCCTCATCCAGCGTCATACAGTCTACTATGAGGCATGTACTCAGCAAGTCATTGAACTGATAGAGGTATAAAAATGAGTCTTGCTGAAAGGCAGAGAGGTCTTAGCAGACAATGTGATCCCAGACACGTGGTTTGGCATTAGCTCACGTGGAGCCCTGGCTGATGTGAGCCTGGCTCTTCATACCATGGGTGACTCCAAGCCAGCTGAGATATGGGCTCAGTATCAGAGGCTCTTGATGAAAGCTTTCCTTCTGTGCAAGCCCCCTCCCAGGCCCACACAGCCTACCAGCAGTAAGAAGAGGAAGCGGGTGAGTGAGGACGTCCCTGACTGCAAAGTGCTGAAGCCTCTGCTGAGCGGCTCCATTCCTGTAGAGCAGTTCGTGCAGACCCTGGAGAAGGTGAGCTCGCTGGCCTGGGCCCAGTCACTCTGTGGCTCCAGGGAACATGGTCTCCGCTCTCCAGGCATGAGGCCTGCTTCTTGCAAGGACTGTAGCCACCTCCAGTAGGTGATGGCGGCGAGGGTCATGTTCCCGTGCTACACTTTTAGTGACACCCTTCTCCACACTTGGTACCTTGGCTGTGACTTCCTGTCCAGTAGGCTTTTCTTCATCTTCTGATTTTCCCCGGGCAGTTCTCTGATCCTCCCACCATCCTACAGATGAGCAGGCTGGCCCTGCCACCCTCATGACAGGGCTCCTGGTCACTGTCATGACAACACTAAACAATTCAGGTGTATTCTCTTTTTGGGTTTGGCTTTTGTCTTCAGTACAAAATAACTTGCTTTTCTACAGTGACCTTACCTCATTGCCTGCCTGGCTCAACCAGGACCAAGCCCCTTTGCTTGAGTGGACCCAAGTGTCCCACCTGCTCGCTACCAGAGCAACCCTGGCACCTTCCCAAAGCCGTGTGGTGTGCTTGCTGCCAGGACAGTCCTGCAGCGGTGCTCATTGCCGTTTGTCCTCTTCCTACCTCAGCTGTATGTTAGTTTTTCCATTTTGTTTGTTTTTATGTTCTGTGTATGAGTGTTTTGCCTGAATGTGTTTAAGTACACTCATGTCCCGAAGTGCTCATCCCAGAGGTCACAAGAGCGTGTCAAGTCCCCTGGAACTGGAATTACACATGATAGTCAGCCATTATGTGGGTGCTGGAAACTGAACCCAGGTCCTCTACAAGAGCAGCCAGTGCTCTTCACCACTGAGCCATCTGTATGGTTTTTTGTTTGTTTGTTTGTTTGTTTGGTCTTTTTGAGACAGGGTTTCCCTATAGCCCCAGCTGTTCTGGAACTCACTATGTAGACCAGGCTGGCCTTGAACTCACAGAGCTCTGCCTGCCTCTGTCTCCCGAGTTCTGGGATTAAAGGTGTGCACCACCATGCCCAGCTGTATGTTCCTTTTTAAGGAGATGCTACAGTTATTTCTAGAGATGAGAGGTATTGCCAGGTCCCCAGGTTAGTGACACCTTGCTGTAAGGAGTGGAATTTCCCTAGGACTCAGAACAGCGGAGACTGAGCTGGAAGTGGACAGGTGCTACCATCAACAACCACCTGGCACCCCTTCCTAGACACAGGGGTCTAGATGTGCTCAAGCCGGCATACCTCCCTGGGGCGGGGGTGGCTTAGCTGTTTTCATGAGATTTCTGGGTTATAGGGCCTCCATTTAAGTGTAAAGCAGTGAAGTCTGGACCTTCACAGTAGTCTCAAGAGGTATATTGAGGGAATGTAAAGATGGCAGTTCTGGAATGTTCAGTCAGGCATTGCTCTCAGCACAGCCATCCTCCTCTTTTTCTCCTGGAACAGCATGGCTTCAGTGACATTAAGGTGGAAGACACAGCCAAGGGCCATATTGTCTTGCTCCAGGAAGCTGAGACGCTCATCCAGCTTGAAGAAGATTCAACCCACATCATCTGTGACAACGACGAGACGCTGAGAGTGAGGCTGCGGGACCTCGTCCTCAAATTCCTCCAGAAGTTCTGAGTGGGACACCTGCACTTCTCCACCCCCTGAAGGCCCATGGCCTCCCCTGCTTCCAACACAGGCCACCAAGGCAGGGCATGGACGCTGCTGGCCATCTCTTGGTGTTCCCTGGATTCAGGAATGAAGATGGGGCTGTGGAGGGAAACAGTCCTGAACTCTGGCCAGGAGCTGCCGCTCTGACTTCCTTACTCTTTCAGGCAAGAATTTTTCCTTCCAACTTTGTCATTTTCTTTTCAATTCTGAGCTCTTGGTTGCTGAGGCGACAGCATGACAGAAGTCCTTTCAGAAAGGAAGTGAAAGATGACTGGCCTGTGAGTTTCTGTGGCTCAGAGGCCTCAATGAGGAACAAGTCTTCATCTGCCTGCAGTGCTAGACCTAGTGAAAACAGGCTGCCCTCCAAAAACAGTAAAATGTTCTGTTCTGGCCTATTTTGTTAATAAAACTTATTTTTATAGAAGCATCCATGTTTTGTTGAACCTTCAGTATAAATAATGATTTAGTATCTGGAAAAAAAAATCTGAGACTACACTGAACAGCAAAACATAGCAAATTTTTGTCCCATGTCTGCCTTAAATCATGCAGCCCTGTCCTGTTTACAAAAAATCAGATGTAGGCTGTGTACATGCCTATATAATCCCAGCACTTGAGAGGTAGAAGCAGAAGTGAGTTCAAAGTCAAGTTCAAGGCTAACATAGGCTACATGAGACCCTGTCTCAAAAAGCAAAGACAACACTAAACAATTCAGATGGTTTTTTTTTTTCTTTCATTTTTTGGTTTTCTAAGACAGGGTCTCCCTGTAACCCCAGCTGACCTGGAACTCTATGTAGACCAGGATGGCCCTGACAGGATCTGCCTACCTCCTGAGCAATGGGATTAAAGGCATCCAGCTGATGTATTCTTAAATGGATATGGCTCAGTGACATAGCTGAGCATGTATGAAGCTCTGGGTTCATGTCCCAACATGGAAATAAAAATGTCAACACTCAGTCCTCTAACTCCACTAACGCTGAACATAACAAGGAGATTTAGTGACCCAGGGACTACTGGAGATGCTATAGAAGTAACTGCAAGTTGTGGGAAGAGCAGATTATCAGGTCTAGAATTACAGCATCAGTGGGAACGATCTCATCACTGGAGCAGGAGAAAAGACTTCCCATCTCCAGCCGGGGCACAGGGATGTTTGAAGCAGAGCTGAGTCATTTTGCTGAGGGGCTTCAGATGTGCTACAGGATAAACTATGGGAGTCACCTGGGATGGGCAGGGTTGACAGCTCAACACTCTGAGCTGGGCGTTGTTTCTATGTGACCTTTGTTACAATACTTAAGAGAGGATCGACCTAAACTTCTAATTTTTAACATCTTGAAAAAAATGCAAAAACATTGTAAGATAAAGCTAAACAGAACGCAAAGAAACATTTAAATAACATGTCCTACCAGATCTGTGTCCAGAAATGCCTTGGGGTTTGTGGGTCTGACTTCATTAAGAGGTCTGGGCAGAGGCCCAAGGTGTGGGTCATTTGAGGGATGGTTGCCAAGAGGCACAGATGAGTGAACAGAAATTAAGGAGGATTTACTAAGTCATGACCACCCACTTAGGGGCAGGAGCCAGAGGAGGAGGAAGCAGAGGATCATTCCTCCCAGCAGAGCGTGTGCCGCTGTCTTCCTAGGCCCTGGGAGAGCAGTGCTGATGGTACCAAGGGGTCAGATGTTGGTTAGTACAATCCAAAGGAAATGGCAGAAGCTGCCTATGACTGCTGGGGCTTTACCATTGACCGGGACTCATATGGATACCCACTGGTGAGGAACCTGGTGTCTGGAGAACTACTTCAGCCCACCGAGACAGCCATGACCACATGGGAACTGGGAAAGCCTTAATAAGATTGCAGGAACCCAATTTTGTCATTGAGTCTGGTTCTTTAGTCTTAATAGTGGAGCCTGGTGCTCTATGTTTCTACATAAGCAGAAGCAGGCCACAAAGAACAGGACAAGGAAGCCACCAGCTCACTTCTGATCCTTTCAGGACTCCCTGGGTGTGAGCCAGTGAGTACCAGTCTTCCTTCTGTCCATATCCTGCTCTGCAGGAGCACGGAGAATCCACAGATTCGAGGCACAACCTGACTCATGAATTGTTCTTTGCTGGAATAAACCAGTAAGTTTTCTTTTGAGGTTCTTATTGCTTGCCTGTCTGCTTGACATGGAGCCCATTCTGACCTCAAACTTGTGATATTCCTGTCCGTGATTATGGGTGTATACCACCATACCTGGCTTAAAAGTTTTTCTTCTAACAAGCCTTCCCCAAAAGTGGTATAGTATGTATCTATTGCTACGTAAGAACTTACCCAAAACTTTAAAACAACAGACATGTCTTCCCTTACACTTTTTGTGACTCAGGGAAGCAATTGTGAATTAGCTGGAGCACCTGGCTCCAATCAGGAGACGGCCATTCTGCTCCATTCCTCTCAGGTGAAGGCAAACCTCACTTCTCACACCTCCCAGCCCACAGCCTCCAGCTTGTCCTGGGAAGGCCGGAGTTGACTTTTCAGGCTACAGTGAAGGCCCAGCAGAACCAGTGAAGAAAGCTAGTGAGGCACTGATGAGCACAGCCAACTGGAGGAACAGGGATGCCCGTTCTGTCTCCGCAGCCACAAGAACTAGCCACTGACCAGAGTATAGGTCACCGACAGGACAGACAGGCTTGGCCTTCAGGTTCTCCACAGTGGGACTACACACAGTAGCATTACTTTTTGAACGTTGGCAATGGTAAAAATAACTCTGGTTCTGTAGGAAACCGCAACTGAACTTGGATACAGCAGTATAGAACTGAACCAGAGATCGCTAGTGCTGTGGGTAAGGGCTGACGCCGTTCGTGGGTTTATTTCCTAAAGGTTATATACTACAGTCTCCACTGCTCCAAGTACCCAGAGCAGGTTTCCATCACACTACACGTTACTTTACAGGCATTTCAGCATTTGACTCAGCACCACAGGCTTCTGAGCAGTTCATGGTGTGTGAACCTATTTCCGAAATAATTTTAAAACATATTTTGGCCGGGCATGGTGGCGCACATATTTAGTCCTAGCACTCAGGAGGCAGAGGCAGGTGGACCTCTGTGCAGCATTCAAGGCCAGCCTGGTCTACATAGTGAGTTCCAGGCCACCCAGGGCTACAAGGAGACCCTGTCTCAAAAAGACAAAAGACCAAAAAAAAAAAAAAAATCGTAATATTTTGAAATTAGCTAAATACAGTGCGCATGTGCTTTGAAAATAATGACCCTTCATTTTACAGAGCCCTTTCCAAGCAATAAGCCCCTCCAGTCAGTCACAAGGGAGCAGTGGCTAAGCACTGCTATTTGTTTCATACACTGTGCTCTCTGCTAGCTTCAGCTCACAGAGCCGAAGTTTCCACTGCTTCTCAAGGGATAGAGGAGCGCATCTCCAAGACCTCATATGAGCACCTTAAGTCTTGGGGGAAAGGGATGGGGCATGAAAATAGTTTTCAGAAATGTGTAAGAATTAAAGCCCATGACAGTGGGTAAAAAGACAGTTCATGTGTGCCATGAGCACCCCTACAAATACATAAATGTAATGTTTTTAAAGAATTATAAGACCAATCTACCTTTCCTGGTTATCAGTGTTTTAAATGTAATTTTTCAAACATCCTCATCACTGTTAAACTTGCTGTCATTCTCCTGTGCTCTAAAATGACTTCTTGATGGTAAGGGGGGTGGGGGCTCAGAATTGCTAAGTTACCTGCAACCTGATACTGGCCATGAACTAGGAATGAAGGGAGAAAAGGAAAAGATACATGGCCCTTGAAGCCTGAAGACACCAATCCCTGTTCAAGTACGGCACTGCTCAATCACTTGCCCTTCTTGATTCTAGTAAAGGTTAAATGCTACGCATAACATACATAAGTAGGTGCCAAGATAGAAGAATCACGTAGAATATTAGGTAGGATAACGAATACATGCTCAAAAACTAGAGCAAGCTGGGCATGCTAGCACATGCCTTTAATCCCAGAGGCAGGTGGATCTCTGTGGATCAAGACCAGCCTGGTCTATAGGACAAGTTCCAGGCCAGCTGGGGCTACAGAGAGACCCTGTCTCAAAGAAAACCAAAACACTAGAGCAGTTAGAGTAAGGAACAGGCAGCTCGGCAGAGCTAAGAGGAGGAAACGGCAGGGGAGGGGCCAGGCAGGTATGACCCTCACCAGGCGGAGTGCCATGAGGCAGCTAAAGCTTCCCAGGAAGCGGTTTCAAGATGCTGCAGATGGTATCACCTTACAGCTAGACAAAATAGAAAATTTAAAAATGATCTGAACAAAACGATCTTGACCCAAGGTAACTTCTCAGGCACTGTACTCTACAGCTGTAGACTACACGGTTTTCAAGGGCACGTGGTATGTTGTCTGTGAAACCATATGCTAGGCATCCTAGACCAAGTATACACCATTTAAAAGGACCAAAAGCATGCAGACAACATTTATCACACTGGAACTAAATTAGAGCTTGATAAAGAACTTCAGGAAACTGGAAATATCCGAAAATGAAGCATGTAAATAAAGTATCTCATAGTCAAAGACATCCTCCAATGAACTAAAAAAATAGTCTGCCCTACCTAGGGAGAGTTCAGTCTGTAAAGTGCTCACTGTTTAAGCATGAGGACATGAGTTAGATCCCCAGAACCAATGGAAAAAACTGAGCAGGATGGCAGGTGCTTGTGATCCCGGTGCTGGGGAGGCAGCAACAGGAGGATCCCTGGGGGCTCGCTGGCCAGCCCGCCCAGCCTAATCAAGCTGCAGGTCCTGGTGAGAAAGCCTGTCTCAAAAAAAGGAGAGAAAGAAAAAGAACAAAAACCAAGGTGAGTGTCTCCTCAGGAACAGCCTCACAGTTGACCTCTGGCCTCCACATGTGTGCGTACATGTTTACACACAGAATACAATAACCATGTGGAGTGATAAGAATGCAATCCAAGCCGGGTGTGGTGGCGCATGCCTTTGATCCCAGCAGAAGCAGTTCAAGGCCAGCCTGGTCTACATAGTGAGTTCCAGGACAGCTGGGGCTACAGGGAGATCCTGTCTAAAAAAGACCAAAAACAAACAAACAAACCCGAGGAAAGAGGAAAAGTAGCCCGAGCAGGAGTAAACAAGTGGAACTGGCAAGGCCAAGGTTCTGTGCAGAGTGGTGCTGACCACATTCCTCCAGCCCCACAGGAAGGGCCAACCTGCCCCCTCAAGAGTGGGAAAGCAGCCGCCAGTACTGTGCCTACAGATGTGAGAGTGGCAAACCTGGGGGGGTGGCAGATTGAGGGGCCAGGGAAGGGGAGACCACACTAAGGTGCACAATCACAGCGCTCCATGCTCATAAGCCTCCATAGATAAAATGAACAGTTGCTTTGAAAGCACAAAGGGACCAACCAGGCTCATTCAGTAAGAAACAACCCGATCTTAAGAAATTAAGTTC